CAAGGAAAGGTGAGACCACCCGGTGCTTCCCACCCCGTTCCCTCCATCCAGCCCTGCCAAGGGAGGGATCAGCACCGTGGGCACGGGCAGAGAGGATTCCCGGGGTGCTTCCAGCATCCCCCAATGGGCAGCCCAGGCCGGGCCTCCCGCGTGATCCTCGCTGCCCAACAGAAGGATTTGGGATGTTCCTGTTCCTGCCACGGTTTCTCCAGCTGAGGAGCTGGGAGTGGCTTGGGGGGCACAGAGAGACCCCCAGACTGGAGGTGTAAAGGCCCGGGGGGGGGGTCCTGGGTGCTGGTACACGGCGGGTTTGTTGCTGGGGCAATTTTTGCGGTGTCACCCTCCCCTGTGGGGTGTCACCCACCCGTCCCAGTGCTCGGCTGTGGATTCCTGGATGCCTGGCACTGATGGGCATCCCAGCCACGCAGGACCAGAACCCGCTGGCACTGCTCGGTGGGCACCGATCGGGCACGGGGGCAGAGCCTGGCACTGCTCCCCACCGCCCACCCACCGGCGGGAAATGGGGGGTTCCACCGCTGGCACCCGCGGCTTGGCAGCCCCCCGAATCCTTGCCGGGCATTCATTAATCACCCAGGCGGTGTCGGCAGCAGATGGTGAGACGGACCCGCCGCCCCGAACCTCCTCCGGCAGCCACAGCAAACTCCCGGCGCTGCGGCGGCTTCTCCATTCGCCAGCGCTTGGGCAGAGGCTGCTGCCAGCTCCTGCTGGCACCCGGTGCCAGGGACCGTCATCCGCCGGTGGCCCCGACCCTCCTGGATGGGCGCTGGCATCTGCCGGGCGCTCCATCATCGCAGCTCGGCTTGAGCGGGGCGCCGCCGGGCGGGAGCTGGGCCGTACTGGGGGCACTGGGAGAGGACGGGGGGGGCCGGTGGGGAGCGAGGGCTGGGCAGGGGGACGCTGCTGTGGGCTGGTGGTGGTGGGCAGAGGGGTCGCAGTGACCCTTTTCAGCGTGTTCCCACGTGCCACCCGAGCGGGGACACTGAGTCACGGGGGGGTGGCTGTTCGGGTGGGGGTCTGGGGACCCCGTCTCTGGCTGCAGCCGCCGAGCAGAGGCTCGAACGGGGCCGGGGGTTGTCGAGGCGGCTCCGGCGGCCCCGCCGCCGTTTAATGGGCACGGCGAGGCTCCGGCTCCCAGGGGCACGGCTGGCGCCAGGCTCATTACCGCGCCCGCGGCTTCCCCGGCGCGGGGGCCGCGGCAATTTGGGGGAGGTCAAAGCAGCCTCGGCTCGGCTCCGATTGAGGCCGCGCCGCGCCGGGCACTGGGGGATTGGCAGCGAGAGCCGAGACGGGGAGATGGAACCGGTGTCGCTCGGCCGAGGTGTGACGGGAGCCGCTGTGATGGGCACGGGGAGGGGGGCGAGGGCACCTCGTGCTCTCAGGGGTCACCGAGTGCCCCCCTAGACCGGCTCTGGACCCCCAGCTGCTTGGCCCCAGTGTGTCCCAGTCCTTTCCAGCAAGAGGAACTGAACACTCCTTGTCTCGAGCTCCGCCAGGAGATGGTGCAGAGGGGGGGGGGGGGGGGCTTGGGGGGGCTGTGGGGGGACAGGGACACTGCCCAGGTCATGGTGTGGCTCAGGGACAAACCCTGCCCGGGACCGAGTCCCTCCAGGAGGAACCATGAGCTGATGCTCAGCCCTGAGCCGGAGAACTGGGAACCCTGGGAATGCTGGGAATGGGGTGCTCAACCTCAGGGAAGAACCATCAGTGGAGGCTTGGCCCCGAACGGGGGCACTGGGGATGCTGGGAGTGCCAGGAATGGGGTGCCCAGGACTGAGTCCCTCGGTGAGGAACCGTGACCAAGGCTCAGCCCTGGGCAGGGGCACTGGAAACACTGGGAATGCCAGGAATGGGATGCCCAGGCCTGAGTCCCTTGGCAAGGAGCCGTGACCAAGGCTCAGCCCCGAGCAGGGGCACTGGAAACGCTGGGAGTGCCAGGAATGGGGTGCCCAGGACTGAGTCCCTCAGTAAGGAACCGTGAACTCAGGCTCAACCCTGAGCAGGGGCACTGGAAACGCTGGGAATGGGGTCCCAGGGTCCTCAGCAGCACCAGCACGGGGCAGCCACGGGCAGAGGGGAAGCGATTTCTCATTCCAAATCCAATTCCTCTCCAGCACGAGCCGATTTTTCTCTCCCTCTTTTAATTCAGTCACTCAAGCTGACAGCTACACTGTGTACTGCAGCCCGGCTACAGGATTGCTCTGCCATATTCCCCCTGTAAATCTCCCGGCGTGTCAGCTCTGCCTTTCACTCTCCAGTCCGCCTGATAAATATTCATTTTATTGGGGTATTTTTCATTTCTCTCTCTCTCTCTCTCCCTTTCTCTCTGCAGCTCATTCCCCTCATTGGCTTCATCAGTGTGGGCCTGGGCAGCGCGGTGCTGTACCTGCTGAGGCTGGCACTGTACAGCCCCGACGTCAGGTACGGGTTGGGGTGCCCCGGGCACCCCCCGGGCTCTCATCCCGGGCACCCCTTGGGCGTTGACCCTGGGCACCCCTTGATCTCTCACCCCGTGCCCCCCCCGGGCTCTCACCCCACACCCTCAGAGCGTGGGGGGCTCAGCCCCGATATGGTGAGAGGGTGTTTGGGGTGCCCAGACACACCCGACCCCTTCCTGGGGAGTGGTGGGGGGCAGATGTGGGTGCAGAGGTGCCCCGAGGGGGTGAGGGGAGCTGGGGGGTTGTGTTCCCTCTCCTTGTTTTGGGGGGGGGGGGGGAGAAGGGCTCCTCCAGCTCCTCTGGGAGGAGGGTGGGTGGGTGGGTGACAAGGTGGGGAAAAGCTGAGTGTGGCTGAGGGACAAGGGGAAAAAATGTGGGGAGGGAACTGAGGGGAATGGGGAAGGGTGGGATGGATGGTGAGAGAGGGAATGAAGAGAGGGAGGGAGGGAGAGACAAAAACCAGCAGGAAAGGATGAGCAGAGGGAGAGGTGTGAGGATGGAGGGAGGGATGGAGGGATGGAGGGATGGAGGGATGGGGGATGGAGGGATGGATGGAGGGATGGAGGGATGGAAGAACGAGCGGAGGAAGAGGAAGGGTGTGAGGTGTGAGGATGGATGGAGGGATGGATGGGTGAGGGATGGGTGTGGGGAGGGTGGGACTGAGGGAGGAATGGGAAATGGGCAGATGGATGGTTGGAGAAGGAATGGGGAGAGGGAGGGAGGGAGGGACAGACAAAAGCAGGGGGGAAGGAAGAGTGGAGGGAGAGGTGTGAGGATGGATGGAGGGGTGGGGGACAGAGGAGGGGGTGCCTGGGTGGAGGGAGGGATGTGGAATCACAGATGGGCAGGACAGCCCCACATCCTGGGGGGACCAGGCTGGTTTTCCCGTGTCCCCACAGCCCCCCCACCTCGCTCAGAATAATTATTTGCTCCCGGTAAAACCACTCATGGATTTAATCTGGCACCAGCTGAGCTCAGCTCTGCAATTAGCAGATCCAGACACCTTGGCTTGGAGGGTGGGAGTGCAGGGGGGTGTTTGGGGGGGGGGCACAACAGCCCCCCCAGCACATTAATGCCATTAACAGCTCCGGGGGGGCTGCGCTTGCGGCACGGCCCCCCCCCCTCCATCCCCCAATAACACACACAAACATCTTCCCAGATGGAAAATTCTGCTCTTGGCCAGCGCCAGAGGATGGGGGGGGGGATGGAAGAGGGGGGGACGTGAGCTGCTCTCTCCAGGGACCCCATCCCACGGCTCTGGTGGCCTCCCCACGCCCCTCCCGGGACAGGACGGGATGTGTCCGGTGTGGGAAGGCTCCGAGGAGAACTGGGGATGGTGACACCGGGGCTGGGGGCACTGGGGGGGGGGGCAAGGGGGGGGGGGGGGGTCTCTCCCCACTCCCTGCAGGTGCTGATGTCCCTCCCCATCACCCCCCCCCCGCAGCTGGGACCGCAAAAATAACCCCGAGCCCTGGAATAAGCTGAGCCCCACGGACCAGTACAAAGTGAGCACTGGGTGAACTGGGGGCTGGCAGGGGAGGGGGGAGCAACCACTTTTAGGGCAAAGCACCGTGTTTTCTTTGGGAAGGGGAAAGGGGGATCAGCCCTGGAGTGGAGGTTCATGGTTCCCACGGCTCCTTGTGCTCAGATTTGGGGAGGGGGGCACTGCGTGTGTCCCCCCCTCACCTCGGGGCTGCAGCGACAGCAGGGAGGGGAATCACGACCCCCCCCTCACCTCCCTCCCTTCTCCAGTTTCTGGCAGTTTCCACCGACTACAAGAACCTCAAGAAGGAGCGTCCCAGCTTCTGAGCCCCCCCCGGGACGTGCTGGGGTGGGGGGGGAACCCACCCCCGCCAGAAGAACCCCCCAGCTCTGCCAAAGCCACTGCACACAGGTCCCACCGCTCCCCCAGCCCCCCAAAACTGTGTGGCCGAGTCCCCCCCCCCAAATAAACCACATCCCTGCAGAGCCCCCGCGCCCCTCACGGTCACGTTGTGCCTGCACTGAACTCCCAGGACAGCAATAAATTCTAGGGGGGGGGGCAGCAAACCGGATTCTTTATGGTTTCCCAGGGCCTTTGATGCGGGAGATGTTGTCACACCCCCTCCCCCGGGAAGGCTGGGGGGGGTCACATCCCACTGGAAGCAGCAGGAGCCCCCCCCGGGTGCCGCATTTCCGCTCTCCCACGCTCCAGGTCCCCCCTCGGACCCCACCCTGGACCCTCTGGAGAGGGCGAGGGGGTGGAGGGGTCACACCACACGTGTGTGGATGCACATACGTGTGCTGGGGGCGTGACACGGGGCAGGAAAAGGGGGGGGAGGGCAGCCTGGGCTACGGCCCCCTGACTTGTTTTGGGGCTCAGTGTCACCCCCTGCCCTCAGAGCCCACCGGGTGAAGCCCCAGGACGGGGACACCGAGGCACAGAGACCCCCCCCCAGCTCTCCTGGTGCAGCGCTGAGGGGCTCCAGCAACCCACCCCCAAAACCCCCCCAGTGCAGCACCCACACACCTCCAGACCCCCCCAGTGCAGCACCCACACACCTCCAGGCTCTGCCCCCGCTTTTATTAGCAACCCCCCCCCATAGAAAAGTGCAAGATGAGGCTGTAACAAGTGGTGCCCCCCCCTCCAGTCAGGGTCTGGGGGGGGGTCTCTGCACCCTAACACTGAGAGCAGGATGGGCGGGCGCCGTCCCCACGGGGAGGGAGCGCCCAAAGGTGCTGAAGGGGGACGAAGGGGAGCGGGGAAAGGGCAGAGGGGGGCGGGTTTCAGCCTCCCCTCGCCCCCCCCCGGGTGGCCCCAGCCCGGCAGGAGGGGTTTCCCCCCCCTCAGTGGTCACTGAAGCCGGGCATGGGGAAGGCACGAGCGAAGGTCTCGACGCGCTGGCGGAGCTCGGCCAGGCGCCGCTGAGTCTCGGGGTCCTGCAGCAGGAAGGTCTTGAAGTCCTGGAGCTTACCTGGGGGGGGGGGACACACACACAGGTGAGGAGGAAGGGGGGGACCCCACGGCAACCCCACCCCTGCCCGGGTACCCGCAGGGGAAGCTCCGCCAGGCTGGGGAGCGGGGCTGGCACCAGCACGGGGCACACCCCAAAGGGAGAGGGGCCGGTGGGCACCCAGGGGGGCACAGGGAGAGACGGGGGGGACACACGGCCCGTCCCCACTCACTGGTTTTGCTCTTGACGTCCAGGGCCAGCGCGATGCCCTCGTCGATGAACTCCACGACCTTCTGGAAATCCTCCTCGCGGAAGTGGCGCGAGGTCAGCGCGGGGGCACCTGGGGATGGACCCGTCAGGGCTGGGACCACCATGGGGGAACAGCCCCCAGGGAGCTCCCCAAGCCCCCCAAGGAGCTCCCCAAGCCCCCCCCCAGGAGCTCCCCCAGCCCCCCCAGGAGCTCCCCCAAGCCCCACAAGGAGCTCCCCAAGCCCTACAAGGAGCTCCCCAGCCGCCAGCCCCCATGGGGTCCTGTGCCCCTGTCTGTGCCCTGTCTGTGCCCCTGTCTGTGCCCCCTGTGCCCCTGGTCTGGGCCAGAACCAGCTCCGAACTCCCACAGGGAGCCCTCAGAGAAGGGTGAAGCAGTGGGGATGCCCCGGGGCAAAAGCCCGAGGACCCCCCCCCCCCCCCCGGGCCGGGCGGGACCCCCCCCCCGCAGGGCCCATCCCTCACCCAGGCGCAGCCCCCCCGGGGTCAGGGCGCTCTTGTCCCCCGGGCACGTGTTCTTGTTGGCGGTGATGGACACGAGCTCCAGCACCCGCTCCGCCCGCGCCCCGTCCATGCCCTTGGGCCGCAGGTCCACCAGCACCAGGTGGTTGTCGGTGCCCCCTGGAAAGCGAGGGGGAAGAGAGGGGGTGAGGACCCCCCGAGCACCCCCGACCCTCCCCTTGCTGCCCTTTCCCAGCACAGCTCGTCCCCCTCGTGCCCGGGATCGTGCCCGGGGATCGTGGGCACAGAGCGTTACCTGACACCAGGGTGTACCCGCGCTGCAGCAGCGCCTGTGCCATGGCCTTGGCGTTCCTCAGGACCTGCTGGCAGTACTCCCGGAAGGCCGGGGAGCTGGCCTGGCAGCGAGGGGACACCCCGTCAGTGTGGGGGGCACGGGTCACTCCTCCCACCCCGAGCCCCCCCGGCCCCGGCCCCGGCCCGGACCTGTTTGAGGGCCACGGCCACGGCGGCGATGGCGTGGTTGTGGGGGCCGCCCTGCAGGGAGGGGAACACGGAGAAGTTGATCCTGTCCTCCAGGTCGTAGAGCGTCTCCTTGCCCGTCTTCTGGTCCACGGAGCGCACGCCCTTGCGGTAGAAGATCAGTCCCGACCTGGGGGCGAGAGACGCCGTGGGACACCGACCCCGTGGGACACCGACCCCCCTGACCCCGGTGCCCCCGGGGCAGCTCCATCCCCATCATGGCCTCACCCGGGGCAGCTCCATCCCCGTCACGGCCTCACCTGGCGCCGCGCAGGGTCTTGTGGGTGGTGCTGGTGACGACATCGGCGTGTTCGAAGGGCGAGGGGATGGCCTTGGCCGCCACCAGCCCGCTGATGTGGGCCATGTCCGCCAGCAGGTACGCACGGACCTCCTCACACACCTGGGGAGGCCGAGGTCACCCGCTGACCCCCCGGGGACGCCGCAGCCACCCGCTGACCCCTGGGGATGCCACGGTCACTCGCTGGCCCCTGGGGATGCCACGGTCACTCGCTGACCCCTGAGGATGCCACGGCCACCCACTGACCCCTGGACTCACCACGGTCACACGCTGTCCACTGGGGATGCCACGGTCACCTGCTGACCCCCTGGGAACACCGCGGCCACCCGCTGACCCCTGGGGACGCCGTGGTCACCCGCTGACCTCTGGGGACGCCACGGCCACCCGCTGTCCCTTGGGGATACTGTGGCCACCTGCTGACCCCTGGGGACGCTGCGGTCACCCACTGACCCCTGGGGATGTCACGGCCACCCGCTGACCCCTGGGGACACCACGGCCACCTGCTGACCCCTGGGGATGCTGCGGTCACTCGCTGACCCCTGGGGATGCCACGGCCACCCACTGTCCCCTCGGGACGCCACAGTCACCCGCTGACCCCTGGGACACCGCGGTCACCCACTGATCCCTGGGGACGCCATGGCCACCCGCTGTCCACTGGGGACACTGTGGCCACCCACTGACCCCTGACCCCCAGCGGGCACCTTCTTCATGCGGGCGTAGTCGATGAGCCGGGCGTAGGCGCTGGTGCCCGCGATGACCAGTCGGGGACGGAAGAGCCGCGCCGTCACCTCCAGCTGCTCGTAGTCGATCAGTCCCGTGGCCGGCTGTGAGGGACAGACAGACAGACAGAACCGGGTCACTGACCCCCACGGCCGGCTGTGAGGGACAGATGGACAGACAGAACCGGGTCACTCAGCCCCACGGCCGGCTGTGAGGGACAGACAGACAGACAGAACTGGGTCACTCAGCCTCACGGCTGGCTGTGAGGGACAGATAGACAGACAGCCGGGTCAGTCAGCCCCAGGGCCGGCTGTGAGGGATGGACAGACGGACAAGAAAGCTCAGTCAGCCCAGGAATGGATGGACAGACAGACAGACAGCTCGCCAAGGGCACCCCTTTGCCCCCCTGCACCTCTGGCTGAGCCGTGGGCATCTCCCAAGGCACGGGGACACGTCTGGGACTCGCTGGGACACGGAGGGGAGGGCAGGAGCTGCCGGAGCAGCTCGGGCACCTCAGGGCACCACCGGGATCATCCACAGCCACAGGCCCCCCTTTCCCCCCCCGGCTCCTGCCCCTCAGCTCACATCAAGCTTGTAGGGCATCGACTCGAAGAAGATGGAGGTGGCCGAGATCCTCTTGACGTCGGACATGTACCCGTGGGTGAGGCTGCGGGGGAGGCGCGGGGTGAGCCCGGGACCCCCGGGAGGCAGCGGGATCCAGGTTCCCCCCCAAGAGCCCCCCACTCACTGTCCCCCGTCGGGCAGGTCCAGCCCCATGAGGCGGTCGTGGGGCTGCAGCAGGGCCGTGTAGGCGGCGAAGTTGGCCGGGGAGCCCGAGTAGGGCTGAACGTTGACGCCCCAGCGCGCGGGGTCCAGGTCGAAGGCCTCGAGCGCCCGCCGCTCGCACAGCAGCTCGATCTGATCCACCACCTCGGCCCCCCCGTAGTACCTGGGGGACACGGCACGGGCTTATGGGGGCTCCCCCTGCCAGCCCCAGTGCAGAGGGCAGCCCCCCCTTTGGGGAAATCTCTCCTGCAGCTCAATCCTGGCTGCAGAGGGACCCCTGATGCCCCCCCAGCCCATTCCCCCATTTACCTCTTCCCAGGATAACCCTCCGAGTACTTGTTGTTGAGGCAGGAGCCCAGAGCTTCCAGCGCTGCCCGGCTGCAGAAATTCTGGAGGAGAACTGGGGGGTCAGAGTTGGAGCCGCCAAACCCCCCCCTGCCCCGAGCAGAGGGTTCCCCTGGGCCCATCCCCAAGCCCCCCCCGGCCCCCACCTCCGAGGCGATGAGCTCCAGCCCCCGGCACTGCCGATCCTTCTCCTTCTGCACCAGGCTCCAGACCTCGGGGTCGCTCTCGGCCAGGCTCTCCTGCCCCGTCCACCCCGGGATGTGCCCGGTGGTGGCAGCGGTGGCAGCAGAGCCGTGCTGTGCCCGTT